GGGGGGCAAGGGAGGAGGGGAGGAGACAAAGGAGAAAAGGGTTCTGAAGCAATTGGGTTTATTGGAGGATCTGGAGATGAGCAAAGCAGCAGACAAAGTGCAAGTCCCATTTCTGTATTGCTCCTCCAAATTAACAGGACTTTGAGGACTTGCTGCCAAGGTAAATTCAACTCTCTTTCCTTTTGGGGCTACCTAGATACTAAGGTCAGTTATTGTCGGTAGGCGCTTGGCTTTTATGGAGGGAAACTTCTGACAGTGTTCTCATGAAGGAGTAGTTCAGATTCGCTTCTCATTCCCTATGTCCTCTGCATCCTTGATCCAATTCCTTCTTCTGACTCATTTGTTTCTTATATTTTTTTTTGCCTTATTCATTATCACTTGTTCTGAAATTATATGGCCTTTCAACTACTATCACAAATCCACCGGAGAGAGAATATTTTTCCCACTATTGAAGATTTAAATTAGAAAAATTATTTTTGTCAATATTATGAGTGGAAAGGGTTTTTTTAAATAAAAGCATGAGCAAATCAAAACTGATGACAGAAAATCTTATAATCAAGCATTGATGAAAAACTGAAAGACTTTGTGTGCTAAAGGTTTCTATTTTAAGATGAAAAATCATGTTTTTGAGGAGAGCAATTTTATCTATAATTTCCTTTTCAGTCATAAGCCAATTTTTCCACTGAAAAAAATTTCAGTGAGGAATTTGCCACCAACCTTAGCCAGAAACCTTCACATAATTAAGTGTTCATAGCAAGTATCTGCTCTGTGTAGATGGTGATATCCAACATGCCTTCAGAACATGGAAGCCATTAGTTATGGTATCACTGAAATATTATCATCTCCAGGGTGAAGCATCTCCATTGCTGAAAGAAAGAAATGCTCTGGGGAAGAGACAAAAGAAGCCAGAGTGTAAGACAATATAGAAGTTTTTTGGGAGCTATGTATTTTCTCACCTTCGATGAGGGTGTTCTGTATCAGGCACTGTTTTCTCAGTGTGATGAGATGCTAATCAAGTCCTGCTTTCCAAGAAGAGCTTCAGCACCATCTTTATTGACCGCATTTACAAGCTTGCTGGCTAGCTGAACAAATGCTTCTGACTGCACCACTTTTATTCTTTATTTATAGTAGTGTCCACAGTATGCTGGGCCTTTCTCACACATTCAATGCTGGGTGAGTCAACTGAAGTTATGTGCAGAGGACCGACAGCAGGCAATGTCTGTACAAACTGAATCTATTCATGGCCAAATACATTTTGAGAGTCATAAATAGGAAAGGGTGGGAGTATCTGGATGAAGTTGCACCAAACATAGGGAGTGCCATGTGGGAAGAGGCATGCGTTGATTACATGAAAGTTGATGTGTGGGTAGATGACATCTAATCAATCCATGGAGTGATAAGTTGGGGTTCTCAGAAGTCAGTGCAGGGTTTTGCAGGAACCATAAAATCTTAAGCTTCCCTCTGAGTGAGAAAGACCACAGGACCCTGGTACACAAACTGCTTTCTGAATCACTTTTTCTGATGAGATGAAAGTGGGAAGAGTGTTTGTGGCAATGTTTGCTCTAAAAAAAAAAATGTTTGGCACTTTGAGAGCAGAGACACAGTCATGCCACTACCCTACCAAATTTCTGATGTGCAGAACAATGTTTGCTCAGGTGGGAGGTGCTGCTCTGGGGCTTGAACTTGAGCTGATGGGTCTGGATAGCTGGGCGTCCCTCTTGAGCAGGTCACTGCTTTGATGTGTGACTTTCAGTGATCCAGGAGTATTTCCCTGCCTTTTACTGCTGTGAAATCAATACACTCCCCACCTCCCTAAGGATAGTAATTAACTGCTTTAAAAAGTGTTTTGGGACACTTGGTAGCAAGAATTCTCATTTAGTTGGACAGAGCATCCACGATGCCCCATCTAAAGGCAACGTGATATTTGGGGAAGTTGGTTAACAAGTTTTCCCTGCCACCTCTGAGATGGAGTGAATATTATGTCCCTTTCATTTTGCTCACATGCTCACACATCCCGATGCACTCAGCCCTGCTATGTCTGCTGGGTCACCCTCTCTTCCCCAGTACAGCACTTCGAAATGGTAGAAGCTGACCTATCACTCCACTGCCCTGACTTTCAGGAAATGGTTCTTCATTGCTGGGTGAGCTGTTGGGATGTTGTGAGGAGGGCAGAGTGCTCATATCCCCCTCCCCACAGGTGCACACTGGGAAGAACTGGGATTTGTAAGGCTAGGTGGGACAAATGGCTGGTGTGTCAGTCCCTCCCATTTGTGTGTTTTAGATGGAGCTGCTGAAGGGATTGCCATGGCGTCGTGCTTTCCTGGCTGTCATCCTGAACCTGCTGGCTCTCAGCCTCTCCACCACTGCCTTGCTCGGCAGCTACTGGTGCACTGGAACCCAGAAAGTGCCCAAGCCTTTGTGTGGGAAGAGCAAAGCCACCAAGTGCATTGGTGTCCCCGTGCCACCTGATGCAGGTGCTAGCAACGTTTCATCCCAGGATGTGGTGCACTACAGCTGGGAAACTGGTGATGACCGCTTTGCCTTCAGATACTTCCACACGGGGATGTGGCTTTCCTGTGAAGAGAGCATGGAAGGGCCAGGTAGTGTCTTGTCCAGGCAGCCACAAATTCTTCACTTGTATTTACTCCACAGGAGTTTGGAAATGAAAGGTGGGAGGCTGACAACACTTGGGAAAAAAGCCTTCTTCATTTTCCTAGATGGCATTGGCCCTGTGCACTGCTGTGGTCATTGTATTTCTGTCCTTCATTGAGATGTTTACAGACCGGGCAAGGGAGAATGCTTGTCCCTGGTGTGCCCTTCAGTCTGGAATAAGGGCTGTGAAGTGGAAGTGGTGGTGGTGGCAGTGGCTCTGTGGTGGCATTGTTCATCCTGATGTGAACGGGAATGAGCCTCCTTTCCCTTTCCCTATAGCTCCATTCCTGCACACAGCTTACTTCATGCTCTCCAGGGCACATTTGTGCATGTCCCCTCGGAAATGTAAACAGGGTGATTTTATGCAGTGCTGTCAATTTATAGCTATCACTGTGCGGACTGCAATAGTTTGTGTTCTCCTTAAACCACCAAACTGAGAGGTTTTGTGAATGGAACAAGATCTGGGCCTTCCTTAAAAAAATAATAAATACAAAAACAGAATTCTTGCCTTCTTAATACAGAGAAAACCTGGAGAATCTGAACCCAGAGGAACTAAAGCTAGGATGCGAACTGAACTGAGGATTAGACCTGGAGTTTTGTAATTTTTTTTTAGTTGCTTTTGTGATATTGTGACAGGTTTCATTTATGATTTTTGACCATGTGGGACTGGCACAGGGTCACGCAACCTGTACTAGACCCCTTTGGTGCCTCCCTTCACCCTTGACTTGCTCCTGCACAGCCCTGCCAAAGTCCTTCTGCTGAAACCTTTGCCACACCAGCGCAGGTGGATGCTCTGCGGTGCACAGATGCTCTTTACAGCCTGGCACACACATTAGGAATCAGAACTGACCCAGCAGGTGTCCAATAGGGAGATTTGCATCTAAAGATACAGTGATGAGAGTCACTCTCATCAGGCCCATTCCCCTGAGCCCACCATCCTCCCTTCAGCTCTCCCCAAGCACAAACATCTAAGCCATCGTTCTAGTACAGCATTTCTCATTTTCTTATCTGTTGCTGTCAGAGTTTCAAAATAAATATCTGGTGAATAAAAGCAGACAGAAGGGGGGTGGAAGCAGGAGGGGATGTGCTTGAAACTCGCATGTTCTAATGAGAGGGTTGCATCATTAGGAGCATTTCCAGACATGCTGCAGAAGGAGACGTGTTTATTTGGGACTGGTTTGGGCTGGGGTGTGTTTCCATGGTGCTTTTGGGAATGGGACTTCATCCCTTGACAGCTTTCTCTGAAAGACTTGTCCGGCCACTGGGCAGTCCTGGAATAACCCCAGTACCTGAAGGAACACAAGAGAGCATGTTACATCTGGATTGCAGCAGAGCACAGGATAGAGCACAGAGTCAGTCCCAGTCCCCTGCTTCCTGTAAATTGAGTACAACCCATCCACTGCTGGGAGTCTTTAAAGCAAGTGAACAGACAACAACAACAATCGACTATAACCAAAGGAGTATGAGTTAAGCTGGAGGAAGGATTTCATTATTCAGGATAATCTCAGGATCAGTTTAGCTGAGCCATTACTGAATAACCTCATTAAAGTTCTAGGTAAAGTAGCAAACAGCAAGTTAATGAGGACTGCAGATGGCACTAAACTGGGCAGCATCCTGAGAGCTGTGGATGACAGAAGTAATACAGGAGATTGGGAGAGATTAGAACTGGGGATAGAAATTAAGAAAATGAGATTCTTAGATGAAAAGTGCCAGGCTGATACTTCTGGGAGAAATACTGTGCCAAGTAGAGGAGAGGACCCTCAAATGCAGTAATGCAGTATGCAGAAGAGAGACTTACAGATAGTAACAGTGGACCCTCAGCTGAGACAATAGTTTGCATCTGGCCAATACAAAAAATCAAAGCAAATATGAACACCATTTGTCCAAATAGCATGCCTAAGATGTGAGAAGACTACATTTATGTGTGATTCTCTGCCACAGAAGAGGGACTCACATCTCTGTCGTGCAGCATTTCACTTCTGAAAAATTTTTATTGTTTTTTTATTTTGGAAGCAGTGCTAGAACTGCTCTGCTGAGACCGAGGTGAGTGGGAATTCACATCTTCAGTAGAAGTGGTGGATCTGCAGTTTCTTGTAAGCTACAACGTTAATAGTCCTGACCAACAGTAATGTTGTGAGTGAGTAGCAACAGATTATTTTCTATTCACCAGAGGCTCATAAGATTTACAAACTGCTGAAGTTTTTTTTTTCTGGAAAGGCCACTTTTAGTTTTCCAATAAGACACTGTCTTCCCCTACCTTGCCCCAGTGAAGGTCTTAAAAGACGGTCAGAAAGAGAGCAGATGTGAGAAGATCTGGTGGGTAGACTCAGAAATGACTGGAACTATCCAGTGAAAAGAGTGAGAGGAAGATATTGTCTTTTCCTTTATGTATCCTGCATTGTTTTGCAAACTAATACCTTTGGTTTTGTCTTTCAGAAGAGAAATGCCGTAGTTTTATTGAGCTTTCACCACCAGCAGAGAGAGGTAAGAGCAAATTCCCATAGCTCACTGTAGCTGCCCAGTGCACCTCCTTGGGGTGAGGGACCAGCAACATCTTGCCTGTGTGGGGATAGCAGGGTGGGTCCTCAAAGGATGAGTCCAGGCATGAAATCCTGGCCTCAAGGTTGCTGAAAGAGCAAAGATTTCCTCACAGATGTTTGCTTAAACCACTGCCATCTGTGAGGTCAATGGTGGAAGCCTCAGACCCCCTCCCATACGAAGTGGGATTTGTCTCATCTAATAAATTGCCCAGTTTGAGCGTGTCACTTTGCTGTAGCCAGTGGGAAGGGGACAGATGCCACCTGAGGGCAGTCCCTCCCATGTATGCTGCATGTTGGCTCAGGGCTTCAGTTTTGGGGTCTGATGTGGACACTGGAAGCTGAATCACCTCTTACTTTGTGGTAAGATCAGAATATCCAAAAATTACACTTTCAAGGTGAAGTCCTTGAAAGACATCAAATACAAAACTTCATTTGGGTTGGAGAGCTTACCCCTTCTGTCATTGTCACATGTTTCAAATTATCCTGAGGATAATTTCAGTATACCGGAATGTATGTGTACATATGTAATGGAGATTTTACTTACTGAAAGCTTTTCAACTGCTGTGGGCTTGCTAACTATTCCCTGAAATGGAGACTGGAGGCAAGTCATTTCAGAAGATGATCATATGTGAAGGGAAAGGCCTGGTGTACAGAGTCTGTGTCAGTGTTCAAGCCATGAGAGCAAGGGCTGGAACAAATGCTGGGGAATGGCAACAGCAAGCAGGGAGATGAGTACTTTGGGAGAGCTCATCTTCTTTTTCTGCCTTGTTTCCCCTATTTTAAAAACACTGACGAAGACTGCTGAGCTGCTTTTATAAAGCAACATGCATTCCCAGGTGAGGAGTCCAGTGCAAGTGACGTGCAGTGGCATCGCTGTGCAGATTAACCTGGGTCACTCTTGGCATAATGGCATGCTAGAAAAACCTCCACTGCTTATTTTTTTGGGAAGCAGTATTCACACAGTTCAAATACTGCTGGTGTTACAAGATCATTTTGAAGCCATGCAGATCTCCGCTTTGTCATAAAATGAATGACGTAACTGCATTTACTGAATGACTCTTGCATTTACCACAAAATGCCCACTTCATAGGGAGTAGCAATGTATTTTTCTTCTTTCTCACCTTTTGTGCTTCATTCCCTGCCCAGGCCTCTGGCTCTGTTGCTTCCAATGTCTTCCTTACAGACTGTTTTCCTAAGAAAGGAGGTTTATGCAACCCAGTTACATGTCTTTGTAAATCTTTCTATCCGTCCCCCCCTCACACTCCTTCTACTGCTCCTTGTCTAATTGCAGCCCAATGTTGACAGAAAGGCCATGTTCTGTAAGATATTTCGCTCCTACAAATTACTTGGAAGATCACTGTGAGCTTAAGCATGACACTCACAGTAACACTGTGGTCTTAACAGTTCTGTCACCTGCTTTCGCCCCTTCCTGCATCATCTGAAGATGCTCCAGCACAGCTGCCATTACATAGTGGGGCCAGCACTGGAGAAGGCCGTGTGACTGTTGATTGCAGGCTGGGCTGGCTGAGCTGGGTGTGTGCACAGCAGCTCCACATCACACAGGCAGCATTATATGACCAGATTACACAGCATGCATGGTGAACCTGGGCTCACAGGGAGAGTGGTGCAGAGACCTCTGTGCCTGTGTAGTGCCTGCAGCCTCCAGGACACTTTTGGCAGTTTGACCTCTCATGAAATAGTCTCCATGATTGTGCTGCAGCAAGCAAGCGAGCTCATTCAATGATTCTATGATTCTATGATTTAAGCAGGGAATGCAGCTCATAAATTCCTGCTAAAGAGCCAGGTGACTCTATGGCACTAATGATATTGAGGACTCAGCGCCACATTAATGAGGGTTTTCTTCATACTCGTTTTCCCCAGCTGAATGTCTCCTCTATGGCCATTAGTAGCTGCTAACAGTAGCGTTCAGTGCTGCTTCATTTGCCAGACTCGTATTTCTTACTCAGTGAATCCTGTGCTCTTCTACAGCCCAGCATTACAGAGTGCCTTTTCCCATTCTCCTCCAAGTCCTACTGTACAGTGAGCTCAGCTGAGGACTGTGGTATCACTTAAGTCCCACTGATAATCCCAGAATGAAAGTATCAGTACTCTGCTCAAGCAGCAGGGTGAGCGGTGAATATTACTGCACTAGCTGGATATCCACCCCAAGAAATGTAGGACTGCAACGGGCCTCCTGAATTCCAGAGGCCAGGTCACAACCACTGCTGTGGAAGAACCATACAGTTCTTTTCCTAACCAGCTGAGTCCCAGGTTAAAAGTCATTTGCTTCCATTGTTATGATTGGAAATCTATTCTGAATGGCAATATACTAATGTGTAAGACCCGTCTAACATCCAGCTCAGCTGTGTTGATGGCCAACCTATGACCGCTAGGTCTTGTGCTAATACTCAACAGCTTTCCCCCTGCCTTTTTCCCCATGCCTTCTTTCTTGCTGTTTATGAATAATGATGGCTTGTTTACAGACAGTTCTTTTAGTTCCTCTCAGCTTTTGTAGTGCCAGACCAGCCAAGTCATCTTCTGAGACAGACTCTCTGTCCCCTTCAGCATCCTGTGAGCCTTTGCTCACAGGCTGGGGGGATTGTTTTTGGGTGTTTATTGTTTTCCTTCTTTCCCTTCTTTCCAAAGGACATTTGGATTTCAGGATTGGGTTAGGAAGAGGGGGTACTCACCCTTGAACAAGTCACACTGTATTTATGTGAGGAGTCTCTGGTTCCTGGCAGGAATCCTGTGGCTGTCGCTGGGATCAGAGATGCTGTACATCAGCTTGCTGCTCATCAGCTTCATCCTCCTGATGGTGGAAATGCTGCATACTGGCAATCCTGTCTGTGGGTTGAAGCTCAACGCCTTTGCTGCTGTCTCCTCGGTGCTGTCAGGTAAGTGTGTTACTGCAAGCTTGGAATCACAGCAGCAGGAGACCCTCCTCTCTCACACAAGGCTGAAGTATGCTGCTCTGGCTCCTGCTATAACTTTTTTCCTTTCTTGTCTTTTGTGTCCAGGTCTCCTTGGGATGGTGGCACACATGATGTACACTCAAGTCTTCCAGGCAACGGTTAATCTGGGACCAGAGGACTGGAGACCACACTCATGGGACTATGGCTGGGCATTCTAGTACGTGAGCTCTGAAGTTATCTTCACCTCCCCAGCCTTTTGGGCTTCAGCCATACTACATCCTGCCAAAACCCACCTCCTCCCTTCTTGCCTTTCTGTGTTTCCAAGGACAGGTGTACCATGGTTTTCCTGCTAAAAAAACCCTGCTTTAACAAACAGTTGCTGAGTTACTTAAACGAGTAGCTACCAAGGACTGGCAAAACAATAGGGTCACATCTAAACAAGTGCCTTCAATCCCGCTGACTAATCAAGTTTGTCCCTATGCTGGTTTGCCGTTTGGTCTCAGCTCTTCCCTGTATGCAGAGGCCAGTGTCACACCTGTGATGATGCTCTCAAACGCGCCTTGTTTTTCTGCAGTTTAGGTTGCATGCTGGTTTGGCATCTTCACTAATTTCCAAAGGGCCTATTCCTGCAGCACTAAGCCTAGACAGATGCTTAAAGATGTGGACGCTGCAGCCTGGAAGAGCAGCTGCAAAAAGCAGGTGGCTCAGGGTTCTTTTCTCTAAAGGCTAAAGAAACCAGCCACAGCCGATATGCCATAGCTGACTTGAAAAACAGTCAGATGAGCCTGGCAAGTGCCCACGGAATGTGCAGGCTCAATTTGCAATGCTGTAGTGAAGATAACCACATTGATTCTTAAGACTTAAACACTCCAGTGCCATGTGCCAGCTGTGGACATCAAATGTCAGCACACTCATCTGGTTATCCTCATGGACATGCCTCATGTCCAGGAAGACACTGAGCAGCCAAGCAATATAGAACATGCTTCCAAGCTGTGTCATCCTGCTCTGACCCGTTATAGACTTTCCTGCTGTCATTTTTGTTTTCTCTGTATCCCTCCCTTCCTTGGGACCAGTATTTACCCCACCACTCTAAGAAGGATCTCACGGTGGGATAGTCCCTAAGAACTCTAATGTTATGAGCCTGACACCTCTCGACTTTGTAGTTCACATCCATGCCCAGCAGCTTCTGCCTGGCAAATCAGGGTGTGTCACAGTGTATGCAGTTCAATTCCTTACCCTACTTGGCTTCTGACGGCATGTGCTGTTCTTGTGTCTCTCCTGTAGCATGGCTTGGGTCTCCTTCACCTGCTGCATGGCCTCTGCTGTCACCACTCTTAACACCTATACCAAGACGGTGCTGGAGTTCAAAAGGACCCACATCAAGGGCTACGATGGGAGCTTCAAGGATCAACCTCAGCACCACCAGTGCTACATACAGCAGCAAATAAGCAGCTACTATGAGCCCCAAGACAAGCCCCTCCGCTCAGTCTCTGAGGGAATTGACTTCTACTCTGAGCTGCAGCAGAAAGTGCTACGGCGAGAACCAGAGCTGGACCTGGATGAGGTCTTGGGACAGACGATCGGGGAGGATCGCTGTTAAGAGATTAGTGTGCAGGGACAGAGCAGTGGGGTTTGGGAGGCACAAGAGCTCTGAACCAAACACTAGCACCACTTCACAAGTTCCTGTGGAGCTCTTCCTTCCTCTACCGTTCAGGGTGTGAGAAGAGCTGATGGGCACTGGGCTAGGGCAGTGCCAGCAGTAGCAGGGTGGGTCCTCACTGATCAGTTTGACAGGTGTCCTCAGCTGGGAAGGGTGAAACTGGAGGGACATGTTGTTTGTGCCAGCTGTCTCCAGGCACTTTCAGACAGAGTTGAGGTAGTTGTCCTAATCCCAACAGCACTGCACCCAGGGATAGCGCCATCCAGCTGACAAACTGCAGTGCTGGGCATGTTTGGGTGGTGTTACATTGACCTTCAAGGAACCCCTCTGGTTCAGTGCTATGGTGAAGGGCAACAGTGCTTATATTGATTGGCTGTAATCCTCTCTGAATACCTTATTTATTCTTCATTTCCAGGACCTCCAGGTCCAATGTCCTCTTCTCCCTGCCCCCAGATTGAAAGTGCTGCTGCAGCAGCAATAGGGATTTACTTTCAGACATCTCTCCCTTCCTCTTTCCTATCTGTTATGACTCCCACATGCTCCCTTCTTGCTTTTCCCCCCAAAATCTCCCATTCTGAGGTACTTTCCTGTCTGTCTCTTTCTACTGTGCTTCTCCACAACCTTTAAGAATCTTTGACTGCGCTTTTGCTTTTTTCTTTGTTTCTCCTAATCCGTGACCTTCTTCCAGTTGTAAAAATATCAAAAACAATCCCCAAATCAAGCAAACTCATTATCTCTCAAAGGTGAAACACTGGTTTACATGACACGCTGATGCTGTACACAGTATTTATTTGCTCCACTGCAGTTCACAGTTCAAATACATTTTCCCAACAATATACAAGACAGACTCTTTATTCACAGTGGCGATGTGTGTGTGTGCCGGCAGGGTGAATTCACATTATGGAGGAGCTAACATCACTGCACTTGAATATCAGTTCTCTCAGGAAGAACCTCAGGAGAATAACTACTTCAGGTAACAGTCACTTCACCTTTCCCAGCAAGGTGGTGGCTAGACAAGAGGGAAGGGGCACTCCTGTTTAATCCTCGTATATTACTGGTCCTCACACTTTCAGTCCCTACTATGCAGCTGTATTAATTGATTATATATTATAAACACTAACCCCTGTTTGGAGGAAAATACCAGGCCTAGAGCCATTGCTACAGTTGTGCTAATATATACAAAGCTATTTACACAAAAATACCATTAAACATATACAAACTCTTCACAGGCTCTGACATTAAGAGAGCAGGGCCCAAGGACCAGCCTTGGGGCTTGCAGCTAATCCTGAAGGGCTATCCTGGAAGCTTTATATGGAGATGCAGGGAAGAAGAGAGAGGGTGATATGACTAGAAGAGGTGTCAAGAGCTGAGGAGAGCAAACCCATAGTAGATGTGCCCATCTGGAAGGAGGGTCAAAGAACTGCCATCACCTCACCACTCACCAGGAAGTGCTGGGAGGGTGGAAGAACATGTGCCAGCAGGAGGACAGAAGAGTCTTTTGCAATCCTCATCTTAGTCTGTCTTTGCTTAATGTCAAAGGTCAGACCTAGAAAGGCATACCAGAAAACAGTTCCTATGTTGTTGCCCTGTGCTGTGGGGAGCTGCTGGGGCACCAGTGGTTGGTTTATATATGGTCATTTCTGGTACAAGAAAAATCACGCAAATGCTCTGGAACTACCACACGGGAGACTGATGGCACACTCAGAGGCATAGTTCAAAGCAGTAAACATACTGAGAGCAAATGTGCCCTGGGGGCAGTCCATTTCTCCTGCACCTCCACATAGGGCTGGGATGGCAAGTGAATGGTAAAGTTGAGCTCAGAATAGCGGTAAAATGCACAGAAAAGCCTTCCAGTTCTTCCTCTGTCTGAGGCTCTAAACTCTGAAGCAGTGGTGTGAGAATCAGCTTTGCTGTGCCTGGATCTAGTGTGATCTTTACAGTGCCTGAGGGGATCTGCTGGCAATCTACCCCAAAAGGGCTGTGGTGCATTGCAAAGGGAGACTCAGCCCATTGGACTGCCGTGTAATGTTACAGTGACACTTCAGGTTCACAAATAGCTTAGGGATTGATGAAGAGGAGACAGAAATTAGACATGAACCTTTTGCTTCTACGTCACCCATATGAACCTGTCTTGAATGTGGAACTCAGAAAAAAAATATATAAGTGCAAGAACTGGTGAATGCTGCAGGGACCATCCTTCTCTAGATCAGGTAATAAAGCCAGAGAGCTAGTTTTTTTGTGAGTTTGGTGACAGAATGGAGAAGAGGGCTGAGAGCACAGGAAAGACTGTGGACAAGACTGGCCCTGCAGGAGCCAGACAGAGGCTTCTCTCCAAAAATATAAAGATTAAAGCAGGTGGTGTCCTTTAGCCACACCATTTGCCTTGAGTCATCATGGCCTGCTCTAGGCCTAGAGCTTATTTGGCTGCATGGGAATACTGTTTGGACATAAAAAGGAGTGTCCTAAATCTGACTCATAAATTAAACATACAAAAAATATACATATTTTGTATAAATTGATACATATATATATATATATATGACTTGGCTTTATATATATATATGTATATAAATTCTAAATTCACATTTCCATGTTACCTGGAAGGAAGCATGCAAGAACAGCATATGGAGGGGGAGATGCTGAACAAGGTTCCTCCGGTACAGGACAGGTCTGCCAAGGACAAACCTGCTTCCAGCAGCATTCCCCAGAGAGCTGAAGAAAGGGGAACTGCTCTTACCCCCATTCCCTCTACACAGCAGTTTTCCTGAAGATCCACAGAGCAGCTTCCCGTATTCCCCATACAGGCCACAGGTTCAACCAAAATCTGAGGAACCACCAGGCTAGACCTGGAAAAGGAAAGGCAAGTAAAAACTAAAGACAAAACCTATTATAATCCAGTCTGGTAGAGAAAAGTGGTAATTCAAAGGTCAGCAACTGAACCTGGGTACCACTATATGGAAGACCCTTGTTTGTCCATGTCAAAACAAGTGACCTCTGTCCCACCTCTCTGTTCCCTCTGTGAGTGTGTCAGTCCCTTATGCTCATCATTCTTGTTTTTTTCTAAGATCCCCCTCCTTGTCCAACTCCCAAAGTACAGCTGGGCCTCATAATCTGTCCAGTTTATGCCCAAAGGGGAAGCCAGTCATCTTGCAAACAGTCTCTCTGCATCCCAGCAGTCACTTTGCATCCCAGAAAGCACCTAACTGTGTCTGTAGGGAAGAGATCAGATGTTTTCAAAGGCCTGGATTTCATTAGAGGTTCCTGCACAATCTCACCTTCTGAGGAAAGTCAACAAATTTCAGCCGGGCAAGAAATCGCCTCACTTCTCCACGGGTGATTTTGGAAGTGGTGGTGTCCTTTAGCCACACCATTCGACCTTGATTCATCATGGCCCACTTCAGGCCCAGCTTGCTGACCGAGAGAAATCCTGGCTGTTTTTCAGAAGTTGCAGTTGTCGTCACAGTGATGTGAAATGCATCCTTCTGGAGATCGTTAATTCCAACTGGTTCACCAGAAAAGGGAGAGAAAATATTGGTGAGGAGTAAATGATTATGTTTCTTCCAAAAGAAATCTTACAGTCTTCACTCAGTCAAAGCATCCACTGGACTAAGGGTATATTCAGTCTGAATTTACTATTGCATGTACCTTAGTTAAACAGGGAAAATTATTTTAAGTTAAAAATTTTCCATGGAAATAAAGTTGAAATTTAGATCACAAATTGAAGGGCTTGTCTGCAGGTGATGTTTTTGAGCTTGACATAGGAGATGCACATATAATGCAGTTCACTTTCAGAGAGCTTTCCTTCCCAGACCTGTTAGCAGATATTGTTTTACCTCTATAGAGGAGGAAATTGGTAAAGCATGGGCAAGTCAGATCACGCCAGTCACTGCAAAATAATCTGTACAGACCTCAGAAATCCCAGTTTCTAACAAAGCCCTCTAAAAATTATATTATATTTGTTCTTGACTGAGCTGTGTTTTTGATACACATCCAATTAGATGTATCACTGTACAGTAGTTTTTCTATGCATCCTGGACTACTCGACTCAGTGCTGGATAAATTGATCTTTTATCCCACATCCTGCCATGCTCAACAGGTTGGCTGTTGGTTGAACTGCTTTAGAAAGAGCAAGAAAATTCAACAGGGACTGTACAATCATATAGATGTCAAATCCAGATCTACTTTTCCCTAAAACCACATGTTTAAATATTTTGGATTCCCCCTTTCAAAGAGAAAAAGGAAGAAGCAGCACAACTGCTATCCCAGAGAGCAGGAGAAGAATGGCCAACAAAGGCAGAAGTGTATCTGAAGCGACAGAGAAAAGTTTTGTCATGAGTCTTCATGCACTGCCTTGAATCATAAACAGCTCCATGGAAAGCCAGGGAACTTCTCTGGTGTAAAACATTCAGGAAATCAAACTCGGATGCTTCCTTGCTTAAACATGTGCAAGAAACTTGGTGGGTCTTTTATTTGTAACGTAGGGGCTGGACAGAACCTTCCTTCAGGAGGAAGATGAATCTTATTTCCCATTGCTGGCCTATGTGTGGTGGACCTCAGGCAACACCTTTAAAGGCACAACTACACCCCATTGTTTCTCACAGCTACTTCTCCCTCCATATTTCTTTTAGCCTAGGTAGTTTCTCCTCCATTTGTACTCACTGGCTGAAGCAATGACTTTGTCTGTGGCATTGGTGAGGTCCAAAAGCACTGCAGGAAAAACTGGATGGAGGAGATAGAGGTGGTGCAGTCCTGGGTGCTCAGGTCTGGGACCAGGTTGCTGTTGGAATGAAAGGCAGACAAAAACGTTACAGCTGTCTAGCAAAGAGAAGTCTAGCTTTGCCAAAGAAACAAAGTTTTCTGACACTGCGCTGCCTTTACACGGATCAGAGAATCAAAAATTCTATGGTTTTACAGAGATGAAATAATGCAAAGTTTTTTTT